GCCCCACCGAAGGTCTCAGTGGGTGTCCCGCATGCGTCCCGCACACGCCATTTCGGCACACCCTTCCATACGTTTCGTGCCCCATAGGGAGCTCCGCCGAAGGTCCCGTGGGTGTGGCCCGCACGGGGCCTGCGCCCCGCACGACTCCTTTCGGCACACCCCTCACACGTTTCGTGGCCCCATAGGGAGCTCCACCGAAAGTCCCAGTGGGTGTGCCCGCATGCGTCCTGCACACCCATTTCGGCACACCCCTCACACGTTTCGTGGCCCCATAGGGAGCTCCACCGAAGGTCTCAGTGGGTGTGCCCGCATGCGTCCCGCACACTCATTTCGGCCCACCCCTCACACGTTTCGTGGCCCCATAGGGAGCTCCACCGAAGGTCCCAGTGGGTGTGCCCGCATGCGTCCCGCACACCCATTTCGGCACACCCGTCACACGTTTCGTGGCCCCATAGGGAGCTCCACCGAAGGTCTCAGTTGGTGTGCCCGCATGCGTCCCGCACACGCATTTCGGCACACCCCTCACACGTTTCGTGGCCCCATAGGGAGCTCCACCGAAGGTCCCAGTGGGTGTGCCCGCATGCGTCCCGCACACCCATTTCGGCCCACCCCTCACACGTTTCGTGGCCCCATAGGGAGCTCCACCGAAGGTCCCAGTGGGTGTGCCCGCATGCGTCCCGCACACCCATTTCGGCACACCCCTCACACGTTTCGTGGCCCCATAGGGAGCTCCACCGAAGGTCCCAGTGTGTGTGCCCGCATGCGTCCCGCACACTCATTTCGGCACACTCCTCACACGTTTCGTGGCCCCATAGGTAGCCCCACCGAAGGTCCAGTGGGTGTGCCCGCATGCGTCCCGCACACCCATTTCGGCACACCCCTCACACGTTTCGTGGCCCCATAGGGAGCTCCACCGAAGGTCCCAGTGGGTGTGCCCGCATGCGTCCCGCACACCCATGTGACCCATGTCGTTACACCCTTCGCACCCTTCGCCGTGTCCGTGGCCGATAGGGAGCTCCATCCGAAGGTCCCAGTGGGTGTGCCCGCATGCGTCCCGCACACCCATTTCGGCAACATCCGCTCACACGTTCCCGGCCCCATACGGGAGCCCAACCGAAGGTCCCAGTGGGTGTGCCCGCATGCGTCCCGCACACCCATTTCGGCACATCCCTCACACGTTTCGTGGCCCCGTAGGGAGCTCCACCGAAGGTCCCAGTGGGTGTGCCCGCATGTGTCCCGCACACCCATTTCGGCACACCCCTCGGACGTTTCGTGGCCCCATAGCGAGTTCCACCGACGGTCCCAGTGGGTGTGCCCGCATGCGTCCCGCACACCCATTTCGGCACACCCTTGATACGCTTTGTGGCCCCATAGGGAGCTCCACCGAAGGTCACAGTGGGTGTGCCCGCATGCGTCCCGCACACCCATTTTGGCACACCCCTCACACGCTTCGTGGCCCCATAGGGAGCTCCACCGAAGGTCCCAGTGGGTGTGTGCGCATGCGTCCCGCACACCCATTTCGGCCCACCTCTCGCACGTTTCGTGGCCCCATAGGAGCTCTGCCGAAGGTCCCAGTGGCTCAGTCCGCATGCGCCCCCGCCATTCATTTCGGCCCACCCCTCACACGTTTCGTGGCACCATAGGAGCTCCGCCGAAGGTTCCAGTGGAACAGTCCGCATGCGTCCCCGCCACTCATGTCGGCACACCCCTCACACGTTTCGTGGCCCCACAGGAGCTCCGCCGAAGGTCCCATTGGCACAGACCGCATGCGTCCCCGCCGCTCTTTTCGGCACACCCCTCACACGTTTCGTGGCCCCATAGGAGCTCCGCCGAAGGTCTCGGTGGCACAGTCCGCATCCGTCTCCGCCATTCATGTCGGCCCACCCCTCACACGTCTCGTGGCCCCATAGGAGCTCCGCCGAAGGTCTTGGTGGCACAGTCCGCATGCGTCCCCGCCACTCATTTCAGCACACCCCTCACACGTTTCGTGGCCCCATAGGAGCTCCGCCGAAGGTCCCCGTGACACAGTCCGCATGCGTTCCCGCCATTCATGTCGGCACACCCCTCACACGTTTCGTGGCCCCACAGGAGCTCCGCCGAAGGTCCCATTGGCACAGTCCGCATGCGTCCCCGCTGTTCATTTCGGCACACCCCTCACACGTTTCGTGGCCCCATAGGAACTCCACCGACGGTCCCCGTGGCGCAGTCCGCATGCGTCCCCGCCGTTCATCTCGGCACACCCCTCACACGTCTCGTGGCCCCATAGGAGCTCCGTCGAAGGTCCCAGTGGCACAGTCCGCACGCGTCCCCGCCATTCATGTCGGCACACCCCTCACACGCTTCGTGGCCCCATAGGGAACTCCACCGAAGGTCCCCGTGGCGCAGTTCGCATGCGTCTCCCTTGCCCAGTACACCGCAGGTCCCAGCCAGCCAGCTAGCTCTCTTTGCTCCGCGCAGCGGGCGACCCGCGCGCGTCGCTGGGACCCCTCCAGGGCGACCTGCGCGCGTCGCGGGGGCTCCGTGCTGCGTTCTGCCCAGCGCCTCGCTCGCCCGTCGTCGCTCTGCCCAGCGGCAAGAGCCTTGCCCGCTATCAGCCAGCCAGCTAGATGTCTTTGCTCCGCGCAGTGGGCGACCCGCGCGCGTCGCCGGGACCCCTCCGGGGCGACCTGCGCGCGTCGCGGGGACTCCGCGCTGCGCTGCGCCCGCAGCCTTGGACTTTTGAGTGCGCGGGCAAAGGGGGAGTAAAGGAAGGGGGGGAAGCGGGCGCGATCCTCGCGGGGGGGCGCGCCGACATTGGCGCCGCGGCGCGAGGGCGATGCCGTCGGGGAGTCCCGGAAAACTCCTTGCGGCGGCCACGCCCAGCGTCACGAATACTCAGAGGCAGTCATTGTCAAACTATTGGCATTCATACACAATTGCACCACGCTTTGTCATATTCGCATTCATGCACGTAGACTCGCTCGCACGCAAATTCATTCACAGTCAGACGCACGCGCGCAGATTCACCCGCGCTCAGTCTCCCTACGTACTCAGATCAATCGTTTTCGTTCGCTTTGTGTACCACGCCACTCATGTCGGCACACCCCTAGCACGGTTCGTTGCCTCATAGGGATCGCCACCGAAAAAGTGAATCACTACTGCGGTACTCACACCTGCATGGTTGGGTCCCTCAATTCCCAACCGTCCTGTGGTGTTGGGTCCTCGTTTTGAAGAGACGGTGCCCTGCGTTCCTCCCCTCCTCCTCCTCCCCCTCCTCCCTCTTCCCATCGTCATCATCATCATCATCATCATCATCATCATCATCATCATCATCATCGTCGTCGTCGTCGTCGTCATCATCATCATCATCATCATCATCGTCATCTTCATCGTCATCGTCACCCACGCCCATGTCGGCACACCCCTCATACGTTTCGTGGCCCCATAGGGAGCTCCACCGAAGGCCCCAGTGGCAGGGTTTTTTCCCCCCCCCCCCCCCCCCCCCCCGCATGCCTCCCCACCACCCATTTCGGCACACCCCTCACACGTTTCGTGGCCCCATAGGGAGCTCCACCGAAGGCCCCAGTGGCAGGGTCCGCGTGCCTCCCCACCACCCATTTCGGCACACCCCTCACACGTTTCGTGGCCCCATAGGGAGTTCCACCAAAGGCCCCAGTGGCAGGGTCCGCATGCCTCCCCACCACCCATTTCGGCACACCCTTCACACGTTTCGTTGCCCCATAGGGAACTCCACCGAAGGCCCCCGTGGCAGGGTTCGCATGCCTCCCCACCACCCATTTCGGCACACCCCTCACACTTTTCGTGGCCTCGTAGGGAGCTCCACCGAAGGCCCCCGTGGCAGGGTCCGCATGCCTCCCCACCACCGATTTCGGCACACCCCTTCACACGTTCGTGGCCCCATAGGGAGCTCCACCGAAGGCCCCAGTGGGGGGTCCGCATGCCTCCCCACCACCCATTTCGGCACACCCTCACACGCTTCGTGCCCATAGGAGCTCCACCGAAGGCCCCAGTGGCAGGGTCCGCATGCCTCCCCCACCACCCCATTTCGGCACACCCCTCACACGCTTCGTGGCCCCATAGGGAGCTCCACCGAAGGCCCCAGTGGCAGGGTCCGCATGCCTCCCCCACCCATTTCGGCACACCCTTCACACGTTTCGTTGCCCCATAGGGAACTCCACCGAAGCCCCAGTGGCAGGGTTCGCATGCCTCCCCACCACCCATTTCGGCACACCCCTCACACGTTTCGTGGCCCCATAGGGAGCTCCACCGAAGGCCCCCGTCCCCATTTTGGCGCACCCCTCACGCGGTTCGTGGCCCCATATGGAGCTCCACCGAAGATGATGCCCACAATTGCGGTATAAACAATTGCATATGGTTGGGTTTTTCGCCAGGCTAATTTTTTTACAGGGGTGGTGTTGGGGGGGGGGGCGCATGGTTCTGGTTTGGCGGTCGGCCAGGTGGGGGAGGGAGCCTTTACTAATAAGGAACAGTGATAACCCATCCCCTAAGGGGAAGAAGGGGGTCTGAAGAGGAAACTCCCTAAACCACCTACGCCCCTGAAGGGTTGGTGGGACTCGTGGAGCGCGGCCGTCAGCGCCTGCAGGGAGGCGCCCTGCGGGGGCAGCGCGCATGGGCCGTGACCAGCACTGAGGAAGTGGAGAGCTTCCTGACATGGAGGCGGGTCTGGACCTGAAGGGGGATAAAGGATGGGGGAGGGGCGAGCAGGAGACGGAGGAAGAATGAAGGGGGGGAGAGAAGAGAGGTTGATGAGGAGGCGAGGAGAGAAAGGAAAAGAGGGGGAGGAGGGTCATGCGCAGCTGCTGGTTGGCGGCTTGCCCTGCAAATATCACGACATTTTGTGTGCAGAAGAGAGGCGAGAACACATAGCGTCCCTCCGTCCCTCTCTCCCCTCCCCTCCCTCTCCTCCCCCTACCCCCTGTCTCGCCTTCGCGCGCAATTCTTGCGTGCGGCAGCGCGACGACGACGACCCTGCCGCCGAGGATTCTCCCTGGTGCTCTCCAAGGCCGTGTCGACCATCGTGCTGGAGCCCGTGGAGAAGCTGCTGCTGGCCGTGCGCAACGTGGCGCGCGGCCCAGCCGCTCCTTTCTGGCTGTTCCTCGGACCTCTGCCAAACGCCGCGAAGAGTGGCTCTCGCCTTAGCGCCGCGCTAGAGTTTCACGGATTGGTCCTCCTCTTCCTCCTCCTCCTCCTCCTCCTCCCGCCTTTTCCTTCTCCTCCTCCTCCCTCCTCCCTGCTCCTCCTCCTGCTCCTCCTCCTCCCGCGTTCTCCTCCTCCTCCGCCTCCTCCCTCCCCCTCCCCCTCCTCCTCCTCTTCCTCCTCCTCCTCTTCCTCCTCCTCCTCCTCCTCCTCCTCCTCCTCCTCCTCTTCCTCCTCCTCCTCCTCTCAGTCCTCCTCTTCTTCGAGGGGCGACGCAGAAGGCAGAAAACACGGCGAGAAGACACGGCGACATCGGAGGCGCCCCCCGCGCAGCAGGGTCGCGAGAAGCGCGGCAGGATGGCGGAATCTGGAGGCCCAGTTTTGTGCACGCGGGTTGAGGTCATGTGCACCCACAGCCCCCCCCAGGCGCGGCGACCCCTCGGGCGCAGATGCGGGATGACGCTGAACAGTTTCCTGGGGGTCGTGCTCGCGCGGCGGCACGACTGGAAACACCGGCCCCCGGCCGGGAAACTGTTCCTTTGGCCGTTCCCCCCCGCCCTCCTCTCAAGCAGTGGCGAAGCGTCCTGGCTCGCCTATAGCCATACCGAACAATGTTCTGAGAACCTTCTGTGATTCCCACGAAATGTTCTCAGAACATTTCTGGCCGGGACTGTCTTGGTTTATCACATCAGGTTTATGTTCTAAGAACATTGCTTCTGCCTTTTATAACATTTTGATGTTCTAAGAACATTTCGTGGTAGTACTATAAGAATGCTGGGACGCCCGGTCCCTGCTCAATCCTCGTGCGCGCGCTTGGACGGTCGACGGGCGAGGCCGAACCGAAGCAGAGCGGCAGCCGAAGAGTCGGGGCACCCCTGGGCGTTGCGACCCTTCAAGCACTCACGACCCTTCTCGTCCCGCTGGGCGCGGCCCTGCTCGCGGTCAGGGGGCCGCATGCGAACCCTACCCCTACCCCCCACGGTTTCCGAGGGGGAGGGGTCCTGGCATCGCTCGGACGTGTGTATTTTTTTCTCGGCGAGGACCCTTGAGGACCATCCTGGACCATCGAGCAACAAAAAACACGCACGAAACCGAAAAATGCACGGGAAGTGGACGTCCGAGCGACGGCAAGGGGGTAGGGTTCGCATGCGGCCCCCCAGCCGTGGGCCCAGCCGGGCGCCCGCTCGCTCGCGGGGAGTCGGGGCTCGGAGCCTGGAGGCTCGGGCCCCTGCTGGGGCTCGTGGAGGCCCCAGGCCCGCCCGGCCGCCAGTCCTCGCTCCTCCGCGCTCCCGGGTCCTCTCCTCGCACTCCTCCCCTGCCCCCCCCGATCCTCGATGCTGCTTCCTCCTCGATCCTTTGCGCCCGCCTCGATCCTCCTCGATCCTCGGTCGCCCCCCGCGGGCCTCGCGGGTCCTGCTCGTCCGAGCCTCGGCCCGAAGGCCGGAGTCCCTCCCCGAGCCCCACAGAGTGGTCCTCTGTGCCTGCGTCTCGACAGTCGGTCCCCTCGGCTTCGCGCCTCGCGCCCCGCGACGCGCGGCTACAGTGGAGACCCATGCCAAGAAGCACCCTGCTTACCTCCAGGGTGCCCTGGGTTTCTTGGGGTTTCGATGGTTCTGCTACGGAGAGCGTGGCGTTCCCACAGCACAAATCAATGGACGTCCTGGGGGGCTCAGGCGTGGGTTTCTTGTGGAAGGTGTCTTGTGGTCAAGCTCCGACTGTACCTTCGCGCCGTCCCGCCGCCGTCCTGGAGAGGGCCACGCTCTCTGGCCCAGGCCGCGACGCGCGAAGCGAGCTCAGCTTTGCGCCTCTATGCGAGCGACCTGGGACGTCAGGGTCGTCACCGCCGTCGACCTCGAAGGCTTCGACGACGGCCTGGTGGTGCCGGCACTGAACGATCGGTGCTCAAAAAGGACGATCGGTCGAGGATCGGGAAGGAGCAAGGGGATCGAGGGGGTGACCAGGAAAGCCCCTTCATTTCTTGTCTGAGCGACGCCCAAATCGGGGTCTTCCGCGCCGACATCCGTGCGTAAGCTGCCCGCGCAAGATCGCGCATAAGCGCCCTCGTCTCTAATGCGGCGTGCCGCGCTGGCGGCCCGCGTAAGCCACCACGTGGGGTCGCTACGTCATCTCGCGTACAGTCAACCCGTCTAGCAAGGATGCGCGATAAGGATGCAAGGGCATTGGACGCCCGTGTCGAAGCTCTTCGATCGGGGCGCGGCCAGCGAAAATGGCGCAGGATGGACCGATGAGGCAAGGATGCAAGGGTACCCCCCTTGGGAAGGTTGCCCATCCTTACTGTGCGGGTTGACTTCGGCGGCGAGCGAGGGGGGGAAGTGAGAAGGAGAAGTCCTTCTCAGCAGGTTCGGAAGTCCCCCAGCCTTCTGAGAAGTTTTGAACACCTCTCAGAAGGCCGGGGAGCTTCTGAGAAGTCCCGCCGCCTTCTGAGAAGGCCTTCTCCTTCTCACTTCCCCCCCTCGCTCGCCGCCGATCGACTGCAAGATCCCTTTTTAAACGTCGCTCATCTGGCGCTCCTGGAGGTGGCACGACGGCCGTAGCTGACCTCCGTGTGCCCCAGCCTTGGTGGACCCCCCCGTAAGGGGCGGCAGACCGTAAGGGGCGGCCTCCGGGGCCCGCCCCGCCAGGCGTCCATGATCTTCAAGTCCGTCACGGAGGTGGCGGCGAAGGTCGAGGCCAGTCCCTCCCTGGAGGGGCAGGAGGAGAGGAGGTCTAGGATCGACTATTCGGGGGAGCGGTTCTCAGCACGTGGAGTAGGGGCATGAGGAGACGGATGAGGAGGAGGAGGAGGAGGACGAGGACGAGGAGGGTGAGGAGGAGGAGGAGGAGGAGGAGGAGGGGGAGGGGGAGGGGAAGGAGGAAGACGAGGAGGAAGGAGGTGAGGACACCGAACAGGCAGTACTAGTAGTCGTAGTCGTCGTCGTAGTCGTAGTCGTAGTTGTAGTCAGTAGTAGTAGTAGTAGTAGTAGTAGTAGTAGTAGTAGTAGTAGTAGTAGTAGTAGTAGTAGTAGTAGTAGTAGTAGTAGTAGTAGTAGTGGTAGTAGTAGTAGTAGTAGTCGTAGGTAGTAGTAGTAGTCGTAGTAGTCGTAGTAGTTTAGTAGTAGTAGTAGTAGTAGTAGTAGTAGTAGTAGTAGTAGTAGTAGTAGTAGTAGTAGTAGTAGTAGTAGTAGTAGTAGTTGTTTTTTTTAGGTAGTGTATAGTGAGTTGTAGTAGCGTAGTAGTAGTAGTAGTAGTAGTAGTAGTGTAGGAGTAGTAGTAGGTCGTAGTTACGTATTCGTAGTCGTAGTCGTAGTCGTAGTCGTAGTCGTAGTCGTATCGTAGTCGTAGGTCGTAGTAGTAGAAAAAAATAGTAGTAGTTGTAGTTTAGTAGTAGTAGTAGTAGTGTAGTAGTCGGTTGTGGTACAGTGGTAGTAGTTTGTTGTAGGTAAGTAGTAGTAGTAGTAGTAGTAGTAGTAGTAGTAGTAGTCGTAGTCGTGATCGTAGTTTTGTAGTAGTAGTAGTAGTAGTAGTAGTAGTAGTAGTAGTAGTAGTAGTAGTAGTAGTAGTAGTAGTAGTAGTAGTAGTAGTGGTAGTGGTAGTAGCAGCAGCAGCAGCAGCAGCAGTAGTACTAGAAGTAGAAGTATCGTATAGTAGTAGTTGGTAGTACTATACACGTACTAAGTTATAGTACTTGTTACTAGTAATATTATTAGTAGTAGGTAGTAGTGCAGCAGCAGCTGCAGCAGTAGTTGTAGTAGTAGTAGTAGTAGTTGTTAGTATTCGTAGTAGTGGTAGTAGTAGTAGTAGTAGTAGTAGTAGTAGTAGTAGTAGTAGTAGTGTTAGTGCCAGTGCTAGTAGTAGTAAAAGTAGTAGTAGTAGTCGTAGTAGTAGTAGTAGTAGTAGTAGTAGTAGTAGTAGTAGTCGTCGGAGTCGTAGTCGTAGTAGTAGTAGTAGTAGTAGTAGTAGTAGTAGTAGTAGAAGAAGAAGTAGAAGTAGAAGTAGTAGTAGAAGTAGTAGTAGTAGTAGCAGTAGTAGTAGTAGCAGTAGAGCAGTAGTAGTAGTACTACTACTACTAGCCGTAGTAGTAGTAGTCGTCGTAGTAGTAGTTGATGTTGCAGTTGCTGTAGTCGGAGTAGAAGTAGTAGTCGCAGCAGTAGGAGTCGTAGTTGTAGTTGTAGTTTGAGAAGTAGTAGTCGTAGCAATAGTAGCCTCGTAGTAGTGGTAGTAGTCGTCGTCGTCGTCGTAGTAGTGGTTGTTTACTTGGTGTAGTTGTTGTAGTCGGAGTACAAGTATCAGTCGTAGCAGTAGGAGTCGTAGTTTTAGTCGTAGTTTGAGAAGTAGTAGTTGTAGTGGTAGTAGTAGTAGTAGTAGTAGTAGTAGTTGTAGTAGTAGTAGTAGTAGCAGTAGTAGTAGTAGTAGTGCGACTCACACTACTACTAGTCGTAGTCGCAGTAGTGGTGGTAGTAGCAGTGGTAGTAGTAGTAAGAGTAGTAGTAGTAGTAGTAGTAGTAGTAGTAGTAGTAGTGTAGTAGTAGCAGTAGTAGTAGTAGTAGTAGTCGTAGTAGTAGTAGTAGTTAATGGGACTAGTACTAGTAGTAGTAGTAGTTGTAGTAGTAGTAGTAGTAGTAGTAGTAGTAGTAGTAGTAGTAGTAGTAGTAGTAGTAGTAGTAGTGGTGGTAGTAGTAGTAGTAGTAGTAGTGGTAGTAGTGGTAGTAGTAGTAATAGTAGTAGTAGTGTTGAGTGTTGCAGTTGTTGTAGTCGGAGTAGAAGTAGCAGTCGTAGCAGTAGGAGTCGTAGTTTTAGTCGTAGTTTGAGACATAGTAGTCGTAATAGTAGTAGTAGTAGCCCAGTAGTAGTAGTAGTAGTAGTAGTAGTAGTAGTAGTCGTAATAATAGAAATCATAATAGTAGCAGTAGTAGTAGTAGTAGTAGTAGTAGTAGCAGCAGTAGTAGTAGTAGTGGTAGTAGTAGTAGCAGTAGCCGTAGCAGTAGCAGTAGCAGCAGTGGTAGTAGTAGTAGTAGTAGTACTAGAAGTAACAGTAGTAGTAGTAGTAGTAGTAGTAGTAGTAGTAGTAGTAGTAGTAGTCGTCGTAGTGGTAGGAGTGGTGGTGGTAGTGGTATTGGTAGGAGTAGTAGTAGTAGTAGTAGT